ATCCCCCGTGAAAACGGAGGGACGATTGTACAATACTAAATATGAATAGTAAACTATTGGTAAAAATAGAATAGTAAACTACAGTGCAAAAAGACAAAATACAGAATAAAACAGATAATGAATATTAGTAATAATATAGAGCGCTAATTATTCGGATTCTGTCCAAGAATCTTTTTGGATAACATTGTGTGTTCCAAGGAGGGTCACTTTTTGCAACTGTGCTTCCTCCTATCTGTAGTGATTTAATGCAAAAGCTTTGGCCATTTGGCATTGCTTCCAGGGCACCGGTCATCACCGGAAACACACTTGGTTTCTTTTCCCTGCAGTACTGAATCTGCATTTATAAGTCTCAGTATTTCATAATTTCTTGATATTTCATCATTTTAACTGTGGTTGAGAAAAAGAAAGTTTGGCTTATAGATGTGGTGCAATCCCAGGAACAGCGGAATCGAAAACAAAGAGAGATAAAAGATGATGAACGATGCAGACCTCCTCCTTTAATTTCGATACTAGAGCCAGCGTGGTTTCGTGGTTTGAGCATTGGACTACAACTCTGGAGATCAGGGTTCAAATCCCCGTTCCGTCATGGAAACCCCCTGGGTGACCTTGGGGGAGTCACACTCTCTCAGCCTCAGAGGATGGCAATGGCAAAGCCCCATCTGAACAAATCTTGCAAAGAAAACCCCACGATAGGTTTAGCCTTAGGGTTGCCACAAGTCCAGATTTTCATGGGTGGCTGAGAGAGTGGCACCTTCCCTTTCTGATGGTTCAGTGTACAAAATTGTTCATGCACAAAATTATTTAAAATATCGTGCATAAAATGACATCCAGGCTATATGTGTATAAGGTGTATATGAAAGATAAATGAATTTCAGGTGTAAGACATCTCATGATGTGTATGCAAATACTCCAAAATTTAAAACATTTGTTCCTGGGAGGCTGGAATAGTGACACCTTTGCTTTCTGCTGTTTTAGTTTCCACAAACTTTGTTTTGTGCACAAAATTGTATAAAGTATTGTGCATAAAATTACCTTCAGATTATATGTATACAAAACATAAATGAATTTGGGGCCCATCTTCAAAATCTCTCTCTCTCTATGCAAATACTCCAAAATCCAAGACTTTTTCACAGGTGGTTGGGATAGTGACCCCTTTGCTTTTTGGTGGTTCAATGTACACAAACTTTGTTTCATGCACAAAAACAAAAAAATGAATTTCATAGTTAGACCTGGATCCTATGTACAAGATAGCTTTTTATGTACAGTTTTACTATCAACTATCCACAGCTTGAAAATATTTTTCAGAAATATAAATCTCAATAAGCAAACCTTGATTTTGACATTTTTTACAAGGGAAACCATTTTACTCCTCCACTGCACTTAACAGGACTTGAGCATCCATGGATTTTGGTACCCACGGGGGGTCCTGGAACCAAACCCAAGCAGACACTAAGGGACCACTATAGTAGTAGTAGTAGTAGTACTAATACTAATAATAATGTCCCATTGTATTTAATGAGACATGAGCATGCATGGATTCTGGTATCCATGTATGTTCCTGGAACTAAACTCCAGCAGATACCAAGGGTCCACTGTAATAATAATAATAATAATAATAATAATAATAATAATAATAATAATAATAATAATAATAATACCCCATTGTGTATAATGGGACTAGAGCATCCCCAGATTTTGGTATCCATGGGGCTCCTGGAACCAAACCCCAGCCAAGCATACCAAGGGATCACTGTATATGTAGATATTCCAAAATCTGAAATCCTTCTGGTTCCAAGATACCTCTCATTAAGTCCATACAGATGTTCCAAAATCCAAACCCTTTTGGTCCCAAGCATTTGAGAGAGACCCTATTGCATCTCTCCTGGCTTTGAGCATCAATGAGCAAGCGCTCAGATCTTAACGTCTCTTGTTTTCTCTCACACCCCCAGAACCCAGCAGCTCCTTGATGGAGGGCGAGGAGGACTCGGCCGCTGCCCGGCCCCCGCAGGGCTCCCCACGGCCGGGGGGCGAGCGACCCTTCTCCTTCCCGGCCTGGGAGGAGGGTTCGGGGGACGAGAACGCGCTGGTGATCCACAGCCAGGTGGAGGAGGAGGAGGAGCGCCACAAGTGCCTGGCGTGCGGGGAGAGCTTTGCGCAGCCGCTCGGCCTCCTGCGCCACCAGAAGCAGCAGCACGCGGGCGAGCGGGCCTTCGTCTGCCCCGAGTGCGGCCGGGGCTTCGGCCTCAAGCACAACCTCATCATCCACCAGCGCATCCACACGGGGGAGAAGCCCTTCGCCTGCGCCGTCTGCGGGAAGCGCTTCAGCCTCAAGCAGAACCTCTTGACCCACCAGAGGGTCCACAGCGGAGGAGGCTCTGAGCGACGGCCCTTCTCCTGCCCGGTCTGCAGGAAGAGCTTCCGGGAACAGCGGCTGCTGCTCGCCCACCAGAAAGGGGGTGCCTGCGGACCGGCCGTCCCGGAGAAACCGGGGATGCCGACGCGGGGGAGGCCCTGTCCGTCGAGCGAGGGTGGCGAAGGCGTAGGGCAGCGGCCGCTGAGGGTCAAGCACCAAGAGAAGTCCCATCCGAACGGGGGGGCGGCCGCCTTCACCTGCCGCCAGTGCGGGGAGGGCTTCGGCTGCCGAAGCAGCCTGGTCAGCCACCAGCGGACCCACCGGGCGGAAAAGCCGCCCCCGAGCGAGGAGGGCAGGAGACGTTTCGGCCCAAAGGAGACCCCCAGAAGCCCGGGCCAGAGACTCCACTCGGGAGAGGCCCCCTTCCAGTGCCTGACCTGCGGGAAGAGCTTTGCCCAGAAGGGCAACCTGGCTGCCCACCGGAAAAGCCACCTGGGCCAGGAGATGCTCAGCTGAGGAGGCCGCCCCCGTCGGAGGAAAGCCTTGCGAGGATCGGAGTGCCTGGAGAAGAGGAAGCGTTGGCGGAGAGCAGGGTGCCCACGGTGGGAACCGGGCGGGAAGAGGGGATGCTGGGATCTGTCCTGGGAGGCCTTGCAGTGGGGCAGAGAGCGCCCCTCTGGGCGAGTTGACCATGGACCACCCGATGTCTGAAAAGGACTCGGAAACCCATCACTTGCAATGCCCAAGTATCACTTGGGGAGCATCCTGGAGATGAATCGCTTCAGTCCCATTTTTCATGACTTGACCCTCCTCATCCTCTCTCAGCCCAGGAGGCCCTGCTTGTCTTCACAGATGAATTTTGCCCTCAGTTGTGTTGCCTCTTGGCTCCTTTTTCAGTCAGGAAAGCGGTGTGTGCAACACCCATTTTATTTTATATTTTTATCCGCTGGCATTTTTTCCTTTCTGGGTTCCTGACATGGATGCTTGAGTTTTTCCAAGTTCTGTTGTTCCGGCTGATTTCCCCCCAAGATCTGCACTATGCGTTTTTGTGATCTTCGTCCTGCAGAGCGAAAGATGTTAGATTTCTTTGCAGGGAGAGGCAAAGGGTCCAGAATCGTGCCAAAGAAATCCAGTGTTCCCTTGGTGGGAGCTCAGGTGTGTTTTTTTGGGGGGGGGGTCAGGGTGACTTGTTGGATCGGTTAAAAGGAAAGGGTTACTGCAGAACATTGCAGTGGGTTTTTCTGTGCAGGTGACGCTTTCTCCTAACCTCTCCCGTTCCTGTTTCTTCTGGATTTGAATTGGCAAATGGTCATGTGTGGAAAGGGATTCTCTTGGTTCATCTCTGACCGTGTTTGATGGCTGCATCTTGCAAAATACTTTGGGAGAAATGTGGAGGAAACGACCCTTTGTCAGCAGGAGGAATCCCACTACGTATTGCAGAGAATCCACAGAAAGATGTCAATGCATTCATTGGTTGTGGACAGAAACCTTCAGAAGATGGAGAGAGAGAGATTGCAAATCTCTGAAGACCTGCATGTGATTCTTCTTTCCTTACAGGAATTTTCCCCTTTGGGAAGTGGGGTGTCCAAAATAAAAGGACCATTGGGGAAAGAGAGGGCAGAAACGGTTTGATGGAGGAAAAATGGTAAATAGATGGGCTGAATCCTATCCTGAGGCTGCATCTGCACTGCAGAAATAATGCAGCTTGATACCGCTTTTAAGTGTCTTGGCTCAATGTTATTGGAATCCTGGGATTTGTAGTTTGTTGAAGCACCAGACCTCTCTGTCAGAGGAAGTTAAATGTCTCACACAACTACAAATCCCAGAATTCCCTAGCATTGAGCCATAGCAGTTAAACCGGTGTCAGACTGCATCATTTCTGCAGTGCAGATGCAACCGTAGGCCTGACTAGAGTAGATGCATTAAAATAGTGGGAATTTTATGTTTACTCACCATTCAGCAACTGATGTCAGTGGGTCTCCTCTAGGGACTAAGCTATAGGATTAAGGCCATTAATATCAGGTACCCTATTTTGGGAAAGGTTTTGAATCGGGGGGGGAAATTTCCTATAAAGACATCAGAAAAATCCACTATTTCTCTAAAGGCCAAATTGGTTGTTTTGGCTTGGATAGGAGTCTCCTTCAGAGCCAATCTTTCAAAACATGGCAGTGCCAAATTTGGGAGGGCTTCCTGGATTTCTCCACCCCCGAACAAATTAATCTTCAGCCTCTTGTGTCCATTTTATGGAGCTTTCCATCTGCTTTCTCCCTTTTTGCTCTCAGCCTCCTCGCCTGTTGATCTGTGGGTTTGTCCTTGCATTTCGTATTCTCCGTTAACAGCTATCTAGCTCTTCAGCTTGGCCAGTTAATACATGTTGAGTATGTGAAAAGGCATTTTTCAGCTGCACATGATTAAGCTGCTGCTTGCAGGTTTTCCTGGAAACAGTTCTGCAGCCTCGTCCAAATAGTGTTTCCCGAACTCGCTTCCCTGGCTTGTCCAGGTGTGCATACAGGTATGCTGTGCCAACTGTTGGTAATCCAAATGAATGAATGAATGAATGAATGCACGCACAGTTGTGCAAGGAAGGGCTCTGCTCCAGGTGGCACTCCAAATTTCAAAGGGTCCGTCATTTAAGATAGCATCTTTAAAGTTTGGATTAAAACCCAGAGTGGCTTGCCACACTGGCACCAGTTCCTCCCCATTTGCCCTTTGCCCTCGGCATGAGCCTACTGGCCACGGAGAAGGGGCTTCCTTCGTACTCAGCCAACGCAGCAACTAAGTGGGTCAGTAGAAGACCAGCAGAGCAGCCATCCCTCTCCCACTGACCCTCCCAGCGGTCAACTATAAAGTCCCATTTGCATGTGATCACCAGGCATGGAACGCACTCCCAGGCTGCAAATATATTCAGTGGTCAGATAGATGCCTTAGAAGGAGAAGTGAATGATGGGCTATGTTCTGCTTTAGTGCAAGTGTGGGAATCGTGGGCCTACAGGCCACACGTGGCAAAAATGCACACCCAATTGTGCACCCTAAATATAATGGAACAATTGGACACGCTTCCCATTGCAGAGTTGCACAATTTTCCCAAAAGGCTCCTTGGGTGATGCAGCCAAAAGTGTGTGTCACGTGCCACTTGCTCCTTTGTGTCCCTCTCTGGGC